CCCCCCAAAATTCCCCCAAAATTCCCACCAAATCCCGAAAAAATCCCCCCAAATCCCCGCAAATTCCCCAAATCCTGCAAAAATCCCCCCAAAATTCCCCAAATCCTGCAAAAATCCCCCCAAATCCCCCCAAATTCCTCCCCCAACCCCAGGGTCTCCCCCGGCTTCTGGCGCGTCCCGCGCGCCGCAGCAAACTGGGGGCTACTGGGGGCTACTGGGAGCTACTGGGAGCTACTGGGAGCCACTGGGGGCTACTGGGGGCTACTGGGGGTTACTGGGAGCCACTGGGGGTTACTGGGAGCTACTGGGAGTTACTGGGAGCTACTGGGAGCCACTGGGGGCTACTGGGGGCTACTGGGAGCTACTGGGAGTTACTGGGAGCTACTGGGGGCTACTGGGGGCTACTGGGGGTTACTGGGAGCCGGTCCCAATTCTCCCATGGGTTTGGGGGGGTCTCTCTTGGAGTTTGGGGGTCTCCTGGTCCAGGTTGGGGTCTCCTGGTTGGGATCTTCTGGTCCACGTTGGGGTCCCCTCATTTGGGTTGGGGTCTTCTGGTCCAGGTCGAGGTCCCCTCATCTGGATTGGGGTCTCCTGGTCGGGGTTGGGGTCTCCTGGTTGGGGTCTCCTGGTCCAGGTTGGGGTCGAGGTTCCCTGACTTGGGTCGGGGTCTCGTGGTTGGGTAGGGGATCTCCTGGTCCAGGTCAAGGTCTTCTCATCTGGGTCGGGGTCTCCTGGTTGGAGTCTCGTGGTTGGGTTGGGGTCTCCTGGTCCAGGTCAGGGTCCCCTCATTTGGGTTGGGGTCTCCTGGTCCTGGTCGGGGTCTCCTGGTTGGGGTCGGGGTCTCCTGGTCCAGGTCAGGGTCCCCTCATTTGGGTTGGGGTCCCCTCATCCAGGTCGGGGTCTCCTGGTTCAGGTCAGGACCTTCTGGTCTGGATCAAGGTCCCCTCACTTGGGTCGGGGTCTCCTGGTTGGGGTCTCCTGGTCCTGGTCGGGGTCTCCTGGTCCAGGTCAGGGTCCCCTCATTTGGGTTGGGGTCCCCTCATCCGGGTCGGGGTCTCCTGGTCCAGGTCAGGATCTTCTGGTCCAGGTTGGGGTCTCCTGGTCCAGGTCAGGATCTTCTGGTCTGGATCAAGGTCCCCTCACTTGGGTCGGGGTCTCCTGGTTGGGGTCTCCTGGTCCTGGTTGGGGTCTCCTGGTTGGGGTTGGGGTCTCCTGGTCCAGGTCAGGGTCTCCTCACTTGGGTCGGGGTCTCCTGGTCCTGGTTGGGGTCTCCTCATTTGGGTCGGGGTCTCCTGGTCCAGGTCAGGGTCTCCAGGTCGGGGTTGGGGTCTCCTGGTCCTGGTCGGGGTCTCCAGGTCAGGGTCTCCTGGTTGGGGGTCAAGGTCCCCTCATTTGGGTTGGGGTCTCCTGGTTGGGGTCTCCTGCTGGAGCTGCAGGAGGTCCCTCGGGGGGGTCACAGGTCAGGGGTGACCCTCGGCCTCGGGGTCCTCAGCTGGGGGAGGGGACAGTGTGAGAGAGGGGGGTCCTGGAAGGGGATTTGGGGTGGGTTTAGTGTCCTGGAAGGGGGTTTGAGGTCATTTTAGGGTCCTGGAAGGGGATTTGGGTTCCTTTAGGGTCCTGGAAGGGTCCTGGGAGAGGAGTTGGGGGTCCATTTTGGGTCCTGGAAGGGGATTTGGGGTGGGTTTAGTGTCCTGGAAGGGGGTTTGAGGTCATTTTAGGGTCCTGGAAGGGGATTTGGGTTCCTTTAGGGTCCTGGAAGGGTCCTGGGAGAGGAGTTGGGGGTCCATTTTGGGTCCTGGAAGGGGATTTGGGGTGGGTTTAGTGTCCTGGAAGGGGGTTTGAGGTCATTTTAGGGTCCTGGAAGGGGATTTGGGTTCCTTTAGGGTCCTGGAAGGGTCCTGGGAGAGGAGTTGGGGGTCCATTTTGGGTCCTGGAAGGGGGTTTGGGGTGGGTTTAGGGTCCTGGAAGGGGATTAAGGTATCTTCAGGGTCCTGGAAGGGGATTTGAGGACACTTTAGGGTCCTGGAAGGGGATTAGGGTATCTTCAGGGTCCTGGAAAGGGATTTGAGGTGGTTTTTAAGGTCCTGGAAGGGGATCTGGGGTGGGTTTAGGGTTCTGGAAGGGGATTAGGGTATCTTCAGGGTCCTGGAAGGGGATTTGAGGACACTTTAGGGTCCTGGAAGGGGATTTGAGGTGGGTTTTAGGGAGGGGATTTGGGGGTCCATTTAGGGTCCTGGAAGGGGATTTGAGGGCACTTTAGGGTCCTGGAAGGGGATTTGAGGGCACTTTAGGGTCCTGGAAGGGGATTTGAGGTGGGTTTTAGGGTCCTGGAAGGGGATTTGAGGACACCTCAGGGTCCTGGAAGGGGAGTGCTTACCTGGACGAAGGGATCCACGCTCTCCAAGGACGGTCTGAAGGCGCGGGGACCCCCCAGATCCCCGGGGGGGGGTCTCAGGGGTCTCCTCCAGGTTTCGGTGTCGCCGAAATGGGGCTGGGGGTCGCGGTGGGGGGCGACCCTCGGGTTCCGGATCACGGCCCCCCGGGGGGGGCTCCAGGAGAAATCGTCCAGTTCGTACCAGGAACCCCCAAAATTATGGGGGGGGTCTCTGGGGGGGAGGGGGGGAAAGGGGGGTGAGAACTGGGGGAGGGTGGGAGACCCCTCCCCAAATGGGAAAACTGGAGTGGGAGACCCCTCCCCAAACTGGGATCCGAGCTGGGAGACCCCAACCCAAACTGGGAAAACTGGAGTGGGAGACCCCATCCAAAATTGGGATCCAAACTGGGAGACCCCCCCCAAATTTGGGATCTGAACTGGGAGACCCCCCCCCAAATTGGGGAGCCAAACTGGGAGACCCCTCCCAAAACTGGGAACCCAAACTGGGAGACCCCTCCCAAGGCAGAACCCGAACTGGGAGACCCCTCCTAAATTGGGGATTCAAACTGGGAGACCCCTCCCAAAACAGAGAACCCAAACTGGGAGACCCCACCCAAACTGGGAGACCCCTCCCAAAACAGAGAACCCAAACTGGGAGACCCCTCCCAAACTGGGAGACCCCTCCCAAAACAGAGAACCCAAACTGGGAGACCCCTCCCAAATTGGGAGACCCCTCCCAAAACAGAGAACCCAAACTGGGAGACCCCTCCCAAACTGGGAGACCCCTCCCAAGGCAGAACCCAAACTGGGAGACCCCACCCAAAACCGGGAACCCAAACTGGGAGACCCCCCCCAAACTGGGAGACCCCTCCCAAAACAGAGAACCCAAGCTGGGAGACCCCTCCCAAAACCGGGAACCCAAACTGGGAGACCCCCCCCAAACTGGGAGACCCCTCCCAAAACAGAGAACCCAAACTGGGAGACCCCACCCAAGGCAGAACCCAAACTGGGAGACCCCTCCCAAAACAGAGAACCCAAACTGGGAGACCCCTCCCAAACTGGGAACCCAAACTGGGAGACCCCACCCAAGGCAGAACCCAAACTGGGAGACCCCCAGTTGGTCCCCCACCCCCGGGCCGGTACCTCCGGTGGCGCCGGTGCCGGCGGCAGAGCAGCAGCGCCGCGAGGATGACGCAGGCGAGGAAGAGGACGGTGGCCACCACGCCCAGCCCGGTGGCCACTTTGCTGACCCGGCCGGAGCACTGGGAGCCCGAGTACCAGAACAGGGCCTGGTCCGGGCAGCTGGGGAGGGGGCGAGGGTCAGACCCCCCCAGGCACCCGCGGGACCACCGGGGACGGGCAGAGACCCCCCCCCCAGAGCCACCGGGGCAAGCACAGGAGGTGTTGGGACCCCCAGGAGGTGTTGGGACCCCCTCAATGGGTGTTGGGACCCCCCCAATGGGTGTTGGGACCTCCAATGGGTGTTGGGACCCCCTCAATGGGTGTTGGGACCCCCCAATGGGTGTTGGGAACCCCTCAATGGGTGTTGGGACCCCCTGAGAGGTGTTGGGACCCCCAAATGGGTGTTGGGACCCCCCAATGGGTGTTGAGACCTCCAATGGGTGTTGGGACCCCCCAGTGGGTGTTGGGACCCCCAAATGGGTGTTGGGACCCCCCAATGGGTGTTGGGACCCCCTCAATGGGTGTTGGGACCCCATGGTGGACACCATGACCCCCGGATGGACACCATGACCCCCCAATGGGTGTTGCGACCCCATGACAGGTGTTGTGACCCTACAACAGGTGTTGTGACCCCCCAATGGATGTTGTGACCCTGTGACGGGTGTTGTTACCCCATGACAAGTGTTGTGACCCCATGACAGGTGTTGTGACCCCATGATGTGTGTTGAGACCCCATGACAGGTGTTGTGACCCCATGGCGGGTGTTGTGACCCTATGACAGGTGTTGTGACCCCCCAATGGATGTTGTGACCTCGTGACGGGTGTTGTGACCCCATGTTGGGTGTTGTTACCCCATGACAGGTGTTGTGACCCTGCGACAGGTGTTGTGACCCCCCAATGGATGTTGTGACCCCATGATGGGTGTTGTTACCCCATGACAGGTGTTGTGACCCTGCGACAGGTGTTGTGACCCCCCAATGGATGTTGTGACCCCGTGACGGGTGTTGTTACCCCATGACAAGTGTT